AGCTCTGCACACGAGAAAATAGCCAAGATGACAAATACTGGACACACACTGACGGGGAAGAGTTTTATTATTATATTATTATAATAAGCTGAATTAGTTGAATAAGCTAAATGAGTTGAATAAATAAAATAAGTTGAATAAGTTAAATGAGTTGAATAAGTTAAATGGAAAAAAATGAATTAGGTGCACACAGGTGTACAACAGGTAAAAACAGGTGCACACTTGGCTATACTGTATCTGGTGATATGAAATCTGTTTAAATACTTTGACAAAGTATATTTTTTTTTTTTTTATGAATATAGTACTCAGAACATGCAGATATCAGATGCTGAATGTAGTTTTTTGTTTTCGAGTTTGCACCTGACCAGGTAAACTCTCATTTTCAGTGAGCTGTTATACACCTATAAATGAGTTGAATCACATTTAAACATCCATAAATGAATAGTTCAGAGTCTAAGGTTTCCAGAGATACAAATATGTCTGTGTTACAATTAAGTTCATGAGTGTAAAAATCATTTATAATCACTGGTGGAAGTCTGTTTTCTTTTATGCAGTTATGCTCTATGGGTGTAGCCCTAGTGATATATGTATGGGTTGTTCCTAGTAGGCGTCCAGGGGGGAAAGAGTTAAGCTCTACTGAACTACAAGTAAAAGATCGCTATTAACTTCAAAACTACCGCTTCATACATCACAAGGTGGAACAGAGCATTTTGAGATTTCTGGAGATGTGGACAAACTGTTACGACCCAAAATGGATCACAACACAGATGACAAAGTTAAAGTCTGCATGTTTTTTATTTTCTGGTCTATGTTATAATGTTATTTACTCATCACAAACAGACCTGGAGTTGTGTTTTGTTTCATTCACACAAACTCTGTAGATTTCGTTCTGCCCTCAAACAGAAAACACTCCTTAGAATTGCCAATCTCGAATGAACAAAAGGTAAAAGGAGCTGTTAAGTTGAAAACTACCACTACATGACATGACAAGGTCCAACAGAGCATTTTGAGCCTTGGAAATGTAAACATGTGTGAATGAATCAAAACACAACTCTGGGTATGTTTTTGACGAGGTAACGACATATTAATGTGACTTAAAGCTTCCAATAGGGCTGAACAATTTTATTTATTTATTATTTATTTATTTTCCATTTTCAAATCAGGTTTTAGTGCACACGAACATTTGCAAATGTCACAGAAACTTACATCATACCAGAGTCATGCATGAACCATAAGCCCAATTTACAAAGAAAACAAGGCCTGTGATTGGTCCTCTGTACCAGCGCTCTACGAACATTTCCTGTACTCTGCTTTCCTTTCTTTCAATATATACACTGAGTAATAATGTGTTTAATGCATCTTTGCGCACATTTGTTTACATTTGCATACATAAACAAAACTTAAAACCGCATGACTAATTTGCATAATTTTATCTTGATGCCGTCAGGGTGTTGGTACGAAAGACTAACCAGTTCTCAAATTCTTTTGTGCCCTCTGCTATTACATTGCTAAATTCTAAGGGTGCAGTTTTCTGAATGTTGTGCACTGTGATTTGAAGATTGTCATTGAGTGTGTTTGTGTGTGTGAGAAGTGAGAACTGCTCTGAGATGCTGCTAATGAATTGCCCTATGGGATCAATAAAGTTTTCTGAATCAGAATCTAAACTATAAGCGCAGAAAAAAAACAGCTCACTCCTTGGTCAGCTTCTGTAGGACTAAAGGACACGACTCAGTGGAATATGAGTGTTCTTTCTGTGACAGAGGATGTGCTGATGATGGTGAGTCTGTTCTGTGCTTCTATCACATTGGAGATGCTTCATGTTAAACTTTACACGAACGTCAGGTTTAAATCCTCGCCTCCTCGCGTTGTTGCGGTGAATTACTTTGCGGCACATAAACCTCGACGCAGATCCATAAATCAGAAACTGTGCTTTAGGAGCACAGCAAGAAAACCTGCAGCGTTAATGCTCCCAAAATCGTGTTGCCTGCGATCACGATTTTCAGTCCAAAATGACACGAGACAAGTAAATTTTGTTTAATACAGGACCTTTAACTAATTTTAATCAATATATGTTATCTTAGCATCAAAACGAGACATTTCTTAAGTTATAAATAAGTAATTCCATCAACAGTATACTAGAAAATGTAAAGCTACTCGCTTTAATCATGACAGATCTAAAAGTGAAGCCCAGTATCTTTGAGAACACATCAAACACATAACAGATTGAAAACTCACTCATCTGTCGGACTTTGTTGTATGGAAAAACGTATTACAAAACTTCACACACACGTTTAATGTCTACAGTCATTTTTTTATATCTATGGGACAGTGGCTTTGATGGGATTTGTAGTCTTTAATCTCATCACTTTGTAGGCAAGGACACATCTGATTGAAAGTACATGTTACACGCAATTCACTAAAACGTATTAACATGATAATATTCGAGATTTGACCTAGTTTACCATAATATGAGCTTTCTGGTGTGGTTTATAGTTTTAATTCCTGGTTGAACACGCAGTAAATGTGACATTTATAGCGGTTACCTAGCAACCGCATTGAAAAAGGACCATTTTATTAATTTTATTTCGCAAAATAAATGTTTAAAGAGGGGGTATTTTACTTTTATGGGGGTACTAACTGCTAACACAGAACGTATTTAGATCACCACGTTGCCTTTTATTGTTTTGAAAATGTCTCCCCTCCCTTTGCTCTCTGTGCTAAGTCCACCCCCTTCAGAACACAGTCACAACACAAGTCTGTCAAGTTGTTGTGTACAGTTTTGTGTCATGTTTTTGTATATTTATGGAGAATTGTCATGTGGGAGCGTGGGAGATGTCAACTTGTTGGTTGAGCATTGGACAGAATCTTACAGCTAAACCGTACAAAGTGTTCAAATAAGGCCCAGGAGTTATCGCTAAAATACTGAAACATGCATGGACGACATCTAAAAACTAAGAAAATTGTCGTCTTTACTCATAAATTGCCCCTGCATTTTGTATTGAACTTTCAGTATTGGTGGCATAGATAGAGGTATTCTATTTTACCACACAGGTTTGCTTCATGTATTTTTGTTTTCAGCTTTTCTTCACAAATCTCCACTTGACTGACTTGAAACTGTGACAAATGTTTACCCCACGTACTATCCCAAAAACCCAAGTAATGACTAGAAAAACATGAAAATCTGTCATATGCACTTGCAAAGAAGACATACAGCTCTTGTATCTGCTATATAGTTATAATCTATGTCACTCATGGATCCTAATGTTTTAATTTGGACATTTTAAATTGAAATATTGATCTAAAACAACTTAATGAAAGAAACAACTTTTGCATTGGGAAACTGTGGTGCCCAGTGGGAGCTGATGTTACTGTAAACATCATCAAACTCTGATGGATCGCTGCAGATCACATTAGCGAGTTGTGGATTTTTTTAATTTTATTTTTTTTCATTTGCATCAAAATGACGACGCAACGCTGCTGAATCCTACACGTATCACTTATTCCGAAAATAAAATTGGAGAATGAAATACCATATTTTTCAGACTACAAGGCGCAATATCAATAATGTTGAATTCTCTCTTCTATTTTCATACATAAGGTGCACCGGATTATAAGATGCATTAAGTGAAACAAACAGACACTTGAGACTGATCCTTAGTCCAGGGGTCCACGATCCATTGGCAGATCGTGGCGGAATTCGCCCGGCGTTGCCTCCCTGTCTTGGCGAATGTGTATTATGAATGTGAATGTGGGTGGATCATTTAAGTTTGTTTTTTTATTTCCTATGAGGACGACTCAAATATACAATGAGTAATAATGTGTTTAATGCAGCTTTGCACACATTTGTTTACGTTTTACAGAAACAAAACTTAAAACCACATGGCTAATTTGCATAAACTATAAGCGCTGAAAAAAACAGCTCGCTCCTTCTTGTGCTGATGTCGTCAAACTAAAGGAGGCTCCAGACTACAGTAGCCATAATGCTCCGACAATCCATCAAGCGGTGCGGCTTCGTAGTTTACCAAAGTCGTACTAAAACATTTTGACAGACTTTTGAGCGCAGTGTACCACATAAAATCAGTTCAAGGTCAGTAAGCACAACCAGAATTAAAGGTTGTATGGAGGATTTTTTATTAGTTTCAAATTGTCAGTGAAAGATTAAAATACCATTACAGAGACACAGCAGCCTTGTAATTATGATGACCAAAAAAAAAAGAACGAAAATCTATCAACTGTGGACGTAGTGAGGCCAGATAAACATCAGCCAATAGAAAACGAGGCTCCCTCATTTTCTATTGGTTGTTAGATTGTCAATCAAACTCCCTAGTATAACTGACTCGTCGGAGCGCGGGGATTACGTGGTTTACGCAGCGGTTCTTAGAGGCATTTTCGAACTGTCGCTTCCTCGCATTTCGCACAAAGTTTGTCGCGACGGCGGACGAGAATCCACGACCATTTCGCCGCAAAAGAAAGTCCGTTTTTGAGGTCGCTGAAAGAAGAAGAGAAGTGGAAAAGTAGCAAAGCCAAACTGAGGTGATTCTTGGAGATCTCGTCCAGCGATGGCGCGACCGAAGCAGACGAAGGGTCTAAAAACTGACGCGTCGGTCGCTGAATTACTTCTAGACAGGAAACTTCAACAGTAATTCTGAATGCGCACAAGGACTGTCGCTGTATTTCTCTTCCCTTAAAAAAATCCTCTATACAACCTTTAATACATAAGGTGCACCAGATTATAAGGCACAGTCGATTTTTGAGAAAATCAAAGGATTTTAAGTGCTCCTTACAGTCCAAAAAATACAGTAAGTACAGAGAAGTGGGTGTGTACTAGTGGAGTCTTGAATACAGAAGAATAAAGACGACTCAAACCTGCATGAATCACTCCAAATACAACTTCCAGAGGATAAAAGACAAAGGGAAACTACTGTAATATGATAAAAAGTCTAAAAAGCTGATTTGGCAAACAGATCCGCTTTGAAGACGTTTGTGCATTTGTGTCGTACCTTGAGCAGCTTGGCGTGGAGCAGGAGTGTGTAGGCAGCCTCTGTGTAGTTGTCGCATTCCTTGTGAAGGTCGCACAGCTTGTATAAGTATCTGGAGAGTGAGAGAGAGCGATGATTTATGGGTAATGTCTGAGAGGCACTTTAGTCATGTACAAAGGGGTGGCGAGGGTGATCAGACTCTTTTAGCCCACCTCTGAGGCTGACGGACAGACGGGGCTATTATTACAGAAGCATGGAAGTTTTGTGCATTAGTAAACTGTTTTGAATACAGCAGCCTTGGTATTTCTTGTAGCACATCACATTTAAAGGTGTTTTGTGTAACTTTTCTAACACGGGGCTGCCAGTTTATTGTATCTATAGAGTTATTGTATTGCAAACTTGGCCTGGATTCCACAGAGACATAGTACATAAGTTTACAGGTGAGATCTGTGGAGAGGAGACTCCTTTTCACTGTAAGAATGCAGGTTTTTCAATGTATATTTTTGGAAATTAAAGACATGAATTTGGTTTAATGCCATACTGTGGAAAATTCAAACCAAAGCAATAACATTTCTATAGATAAGCAGCCAAAAAAGTTACAGAGTGCACCTTTATTACCTGCTTTCTGTTGTTATTGTTTCAACTTTTTAATAATTTTATTTACACTAAGAGGAGAAATTAAAAAAGGTGCATTGTGTAACTTTTCTAACGCAGGGCTGCCAATTTCTTGTATCGATAGAGTTATTATTGTATCCCAAACTTAACCTGGAGTCCACGGAGACACAGTAGATAAGTTACAGGTGAGATCCATGGAGAGGCGATTACCTTTCACTGTAAGAATGCAGGTTTTTCAATGTATATTTTTGGAAATTAAATACCTGCCTTTGGTTTAATGCCATACTGTGAAAAATTCCAGACAAAGCAATAACATTTCTATAGATAAGCAGCCAAAAAAGTTACAGAGTGCACCTTTATTGCCTGCTCACTGGTGTTATTGTTTCAACTTTTTAATAATTTTTTTAACACTAAGAGAGAAACTAAAAAAAGGTGCATTGTGTAACTTTTCTAATGCAGGGCTGTCAGTTTCTTGTATGTATAGGACTTATTATTGGATCGCAAACTTAGCCTGGAGTCCACGGAGACACACTAGATAAGTTACAGGTGAGATCCGTGGAGAGGAGACCCCACTTCACTGTAAGAATGCAGGTGTTTCAATGTATATTATTGGAAATGAATGCCATACTGTGGAAAATTTGCAACAAAGCAATAACATTTCTATAGATAAGCGGCCAAAAGTTACAGAGTGCACCTTTATTGCCTGCTTTCTGGTGTTATTGTTTCAACTTTTTAAGCATTTTATTTACACTAAGAGGAGGAATTATTTCTTTACTACAAATTTTATTGCAATTTTTAGGTGCATTGTGTAACTTTTCTGGTGGAGGGTCCGTCAAATGCTTTGTCTGGAATGTTTCACAGTATGGCATTAAATCTTTCTATCTCCATGGAGACCAAACCAGACCAAGTTAAAGGTCAGATCTGCGGAGAGGCGACCCCGCTCACAGTTTAAATACCTGTTTTTCTAAGCATTTTTGAGCTATAAAAACACCAATAATTGAATAAATGTGGAACATTCCAGGCAGAGCAATGTCATATCCATATCCACGAGAAAAGTTACACAATGCACCTTTAACAAATGCCCACGGCTTTAGATCTTATAGTAATTTGCGAAAGAACCTCATACTATAACCTCGCTAACCACCAAAGTATCTTGAGAAAATTACTCATTTTGAAGTGCGTGTGAGAGGTTTTTATGATTCTCAGATTTTGACTTCATTTGGTATAATTTGGAATAATACTTGCTGAAAATATAAATTATAGTTTTACACTGATTAAGAAGCAATTTGTGAAGAAAAGTTGAAAAATATGTTGAAAATTACAGTAAGTAGAGAAGATTTTAGAGAAAATTCTATAAAAAATTAAGCATAATTTTCCGCACAAGAACGTTTTATTTCCACGTCCTAAACAATTATTTAAACAAGATAAAGGTATTTTCTTATTTTTTCGTTCATTTAATAATAATTTCTGTGTTCCTTAGGGGAGTTTTGGTGGTTGCTAGGTAACAGTTCAGGCAATCCCTAGCGAGATGTCAAGATTTCCAACAATTTGAAAACAAAAAATCTGCCAAACTGGGCAATTTCTACCTTTTTTTTTTTTTTATTGTTTTTGTAAAATCTTAAAGGTGCAATATGTAACTTTTTGGTTTGAATTGCTCTGCCTGAAATGTTCCACAGTATGACATTAAAAAGCTGTACCTTATATATATACATTCAGGTGGTTTTATAGCTTAAAAATACTGAGAAAAACAAACATTCTGACTGGTCACCTCTCCACAGATCTGACCTGTAACTTGGTCTGGTTTGGTCTCCATGAAGATAGAAAGTAAAATATTAGACAGGCCCTTTGGAAAAGTTACAAACTGCGCCTTTAAATGTGTAGAAATGTGTAGTTCAGTCACTTTAAGGCACTTTAACTTCTTTAAAAATATGAAAATAACGCATAAAAATGAAACAAATTTCATGTTCTTACCTTATGTACATCTCCTCTCGGTCGATTTCTTTGTAAAAATTCTGCAAGAAAAATACAAAACATGAATCACTTAAATCAATGTAAACATCAATGCTGGCTTCAGGACACTGCGGAGCTGCCAAATCGCCGTCCGCGCTTAATCCCTCTTTTAAAAACAAGCAGAAAAGCATGACTCAGACAGAATATAGGCCACCGGCTCCTCTGCTGAATTGGAGAGGGGGATCTGACATTTCCAAGCTCAAAACTGAAATGGCGTTTTTAGCAAAGAGGAGCTGCCCGTGTCTGTGGCAGGTGAGCGAGGACCAGACGATAGCCACAGTGATAAACCACAGACACAAGCTTTGGTTTTCTGTTGCCATGGTTATCAAATTATATTATTATGGACATTAAAGGTGCTGTATTACGCGAAATTGAATCTTGTGAGTTTTTAGTCATGTTATAATAATGTTACGAGACCAAGACCTGCCCACAAACATAGGGTCCTGAGACCAGAACAAGACCGAGATCTCTGAGGGTCAAGACCGAGACAAAACCAAGACGTCTAAGGGTCGAGACCGAGGCAAGACCGAGACCTCTGAGGGTCGAGACTGAGAGAAGATCGAGACCGAGAGACCGAGACCGAGAGAAGACCGATACCTCTGAGGGTCGAGATCGAGACAAGACCGAGACCTCTGAGGGTGGAGACCGAGACAAGACCGAGACCTCTGAGGGTCGAGATCGAGACAAGACCGAGACCTCTGAGGGTCGAGATCGAGACAAGACTGAGACCTCGGAGGGTCGAGACCGAGACAAGACCGAGACTGAGAGAAGACCAAGACCTCTGAGGGTCGAGATCGAGACAAGACCGAGACCTCTCAGGTTCGAGAAAGAGACAAGACCGAAACCTCTGAGGGTCGAGATAGAGACAAGACCGAGACCTCTGAGGGTGGAGACCAAGACAAGACCGAGACTGAGAGAAGACCAAGACCTCTGAGGGTGGAGACCGAGACAAGACCGAGACCTCTGAGGGTCGAGACCGAGACAAGACCGAGACCTCTGAGGGTCGAGACAAGGACAAGACCGAGACCTCTGAGGGTCGAGACCGAAACCAGACCCGAGACCTCTGATGGTCAAGACCGAGACAACATCAAGACTATTAAAGGCAGAGATCGAGACAAGACTCAACGAGACTAAATCAAGGTCATCTTTGTAATTTTCCACTTTATTTGTATTTTACAGTTATTTTGGCACATATGTATCAATGTTTTTTATAAATCTAACTCCATTTTATCACTTGTCAAGTGTCAGACCTCAAGGCCGAGATAAGACCGAGTCCAAGTGCCTTTAAGACCGAGACAAGACCGAGTCCAAGCGCCTTTAAGACCGAGACAAGACCGAGTCCAAGTGCCTTTAAGACAGAGACAAGACCGAGTCCAAGTGCCTTTAAGACCGAGACAAGACTGAGTGTCCTCAAGACCGAGACAAGACCGAGTGTCCTCAAGACCGAGACAAGACCTAGTCCAAGTGCCTTTAAGACCGAGACAAGACTGAGTGTCCTCAAGACCGAGACAAGACCGAGTGTCCTCAAGACCGAGACAAGACCGAGTGTCCTCAAGACCGAGACAAGACCGAGTCCAAGTGCCTTTAAGACCGAGACAAGACCGAGTCCAAGTGCCTTTAAGACCGAGACAAGACCGAGTGTCCTCAAGACCGAGACAAGACCGAGTCCAAGTGCCTTTAAGACCGAGACAAGACCGAGTCCAAGTGCCTTTAAGACCGAGACAAGACTGAGTGTCCTCAAGACCGAGACAAGACCGAGTGTCCTCAAGACCGAGACAAGACCGAGTCCAAGTGCCTTTAAGACCGAGACAAGACCGAGTGTCCTCAAGACCGAGACAAGACCGAGTGTCCTCAAGACCGAGACAAGACCGAGTGTCCTCAAGACCGAGACAAGACCGAGTCCAAGTGCCTTTAAGACCGAGACAAGACCGAGTCCAAGTGCCTTTAAGACCGAGACAAGACCGAGTGTCCTCAAGACCGAGACAAGACCGAGTCCAAGTGCCTTTAAGACCGAGACAAGACCGAGTGTCCTCAAGACCGAGACAAGACCGAGTCCAAGTGCCTTTAAGACAGAGACAAGACCGAGTGTCCTCAAGACCGAGACAAGACCGAGTGTCCTCAAGACCGAGACAAGACCGAGTCCAAGTGCCTTTAAGACCGAGACAAGACCGAGTGTCCTCAAGACCGAGTGTCCTCAAGACCGAGACAAGACCGAGTCCAAGTGCCTTTAAGACAGAGACAAGACCGAGTGTCCTCAAGACCGAGACAAGACCGAGTCCAAGTGCCTTTAAGACCGAGACAAGACCGAGTGTCCTCAAGACCGAGACAAGACCGAGTCCAAGTGCCTTTAAGACCGAGACAAGACCGAGTGTCCTCAAGACCGAGACAAGACCGAGTCCAAGTGCCTTTAAGACCGAGACAAGACCGAGTGTCCTCAAGACCGAGACAAGACCGAGTGTCCTCAAGACCGAGACAAGACCGAGTGTCCTCAAGACCGAGACAAGACCGAGTGTCCTCAAGACCGAGACAAGACCGAGTGTCCTCAAGACAGAGACAAGACCGAGTGTCCTCAAGACCGAGACAAGACCGAGTGTCCTCAAGACCGAGACAAGACCGAGTCCAAGTGCCTTTAAGACCGAGACAAGACCGAGTGTCCTCAAGACCGAGACAAGACCGAGTCCAAGCACCTTGAAGACTGAGACAAGACCGAGTCCAAGCACCTTCAAGACCGAGACAAGACCAAGTCCAAGCACCTTCAAGACTGAGGCAAGACCGAGTCCAAGCTCCTTCAAGACCGAGACAAGACCAAGTCCAAGCTCCTTCAAGACCGAGACAAGACCAAGTCCAAGCTCCTTCAAGACCGATAACTTAGCTTAAAAATGCCGGGTTTATGTGTTAAACATGTGTGAAACAAATTAAACAAAACACAACTCCAGGAACGTTTTTGATGAGGAAACTAAAGAAATATTATAACATAGATCAGAAAATAACATAATATATCCCCTTTAAGTGGATTTATCTTTGTATTTTGACGATTTAAAAGCCATAGCTGTAACACGCAGCACAATAATCACAATGGAACCTATGATTTCATTAGCTGTCAAATACCGATGAGACAAAATGAATCGCAACAATAGTGACTAATCAAGTTATTACTGCCAAATTTAATACTCTTTATTCATTATGTGGAGGATAAACAAATTACAAACACACCGAAAGACATTTCATAACAAAGACCAATGCAATAATAATCCATAAATGTCAAAACAAGAATAAACAATTTCAAATTTTTATATTATGCATCTAGAAGCCTTCAGCCAGCGGATTTATTTATTATTATTATTATTTTTTTTTTTTTTATCTAGTTGGAAAAAATTAGAGGCAATAAAGTAATAATAACAGAGTGATAAATTTTTGAAAAAGCATTTTATTTAAAGGTGCACTATGTAACTTTTTGGTTAGGGGTCAGTCACCTGCTTGTTTCTATGGATACGTGTCATTGCTATGCCTGGAATGTTCCACAGTATGACATTAAACACCTCTATCCTACGTTTGAACAATTATAGATGTTTTTATCACTCAAAAATACCTAGAAAAACTGACTGTGAACGGGGTCGCCTCTCCACAGACCTGACCTTTAACTTGGTCTAGCTTGGTCTCCATGGAGATAGGTTTAATACTATACTGTGAAACATTCCAGACAAAGCAATAACATCTCCATGAAGAAAAGCATTTGACAGACCCTCCACCAGAAAAGGTTACACAATGCAGCATTAACATTGCCTTTTTGACTAATTTAATGTTATATTTAATTCTTTACTCTGTTATTTTTATAGTTTTTTACTGAGTTAAATTGTTGCTTTTATTTCACTTTATGGTTCAGTGATTAGAGCAGTGATCCCTCAACCCAGAGGTCAGAGAATCGATTCCCGTGCTCGGACAAAGTTCTGTGATTGTGTTGTTAGGCAAGACACTTCACCTCCCTTGCCTAGTATGAAAGTTACAGTTACTATACTGACTTATCCTTCAATATGAGGTGTTGAGTAGGAGCGAATTTGGAGTCAAGTTCCAGGAAGGAATGTGGAAAAGGAATTGATTTACGGACAAAATAGCGAAATAAAAACACCAGGATCATGTAGCGCGGGTTAATACGAACATTTTAAGACCAAAATAATGAGGCTCACAGCAGCAGTTACAGAAAGAGAGAGGGGTGATAATTTTTCAGTGTTAAGACAATTGGAGACAGAGGCAATGGCCCAAGCTCACTTCGTATTTGGAAAGCGGAGACAAGCGGGTTAGTTATGTCCATTTATACATATACACATATACTGGGGCAAGACTAATTTTACGTTATTAAATGAAAAAAGTAGATACTGATGCTTTATGTGATTATATTATAAGTTGATAATCATTCGCCATTATTTTGAGATATTTCTACATTAGAGTGACCAGACGTCCCTGTTTACCCGGGACAGTCCCAGTTTTGAGCCCTGTGTCCCCTGTCCCTAGCCTGATTCATCAGCCGGTTTCACTTTGTGGAAACCGTCTGACCTCGCAGCATTAGGATTTGTTCGCTCGACGGTAGCTGGATACTTTTTTTATTTAACCAATCGCTGCTATTTGGTCGTGACGTACGTAATGCGCCAAATCCCGTAGGAAGAAGGGCAACAACGTCTTTCCCCTTGATAAAATTCACCAAACGTTCTCTTTGTTTCAGCTTTAAATCCTCGATCTCTAGAATCGTTGCCAACACTGAATGTCTGTCTTCGTCTACATCCATCTCAACCGTTTTGTTTACTGTTGTGCTGTACCACAAAAGGGACCCAGACAGACGCTTGAGTTTGATGTCATGGCTTCACAGCTCTTCACTGATTCCTGACCTACTGTATTTTCCAGGCTATTAGGCGCTCTGGATTATAAGACGCACTGTCATTAAATGGTCTATTTTCAAACTTTTTTCACAAATAAACCGCACCAAACTTTAAACGAAACACAACAGTTGGATGGGTCAGTGGGACTTTGTTTGTCACGTTCACGGTGACTCTGGGCTTTGTTCAGTTGTGGCGTGTAGGGAGGGTGCTGTCTGGGACCGCTGGATTGTCGGCGTGTTCGCAGTGACTAAGTTGTTCAGTTCTGGCTCAGAAAGGCACATTGCACTCGCTTTTTTGGTTTGTTCCTCCGTTCCGTTCCTTGTCGGCGTGGAGTGATGAGTGTGTCTGTGGGTGTGTTTCGTTGTGCGGTCGCTGTCTGCTCCGTGTGTGTTTGCGTGCGCTGTGGGTGGTGCGGCTTTGTAGTTTACTGAAGTCGTGCTGGGACACACGAGTGGATTTGTGTATAGGGCGCTCTGGCGTGCAGTCATTTTTTTGAAGGGGTTAGAGGCTTAAGAGTGCATCTAATAGCCGGAAAATACGGTAGTTGGACAGAAATGAAATTGAGCGGAGACGCTAGGTGACTCCAGCCTGGCAACCCAGTCCCAGCAGATTCATACAAAACTATGGATTTGTCCCAGTTTTATAAAAAGAAACATCCCTGGTGTCCTTATTTTTGACCAATCTGATACCTGCCGCATAAATTGTATGTGTATGTGTTTGTTTTGCTCAAAAATGACCAAAACACAAAGAAAATATGACTAAACTTACTCACGTTAATCATGAATGGGCTGAGTGCAGAACAATTATCCTTAATTACACACTCGTTTCACAATTTTATTATTACCAACCGCCCTAAACCGGGGATGTCCCAGTTTTTGACTTGGAAAATCTGGTCACCCTATTCTACACATACACATAATTCACATGGTAGACCTATGTACACGCTTGCTCCCAGGTACTAACTCTTAATTAGCCTGTTAGGAGCAGACAGGACTCATCTGTGAACACATCCTGACATTAATTAAAGAGAAAAACATAACGAGGCATATATATATACAGTCCATGATACAAATTCAAAACATAATTCCACTTGTTTACCTGCATTGTCTTATAGTTACGTTATGAACTCACCAGGACGTTGACGGTGCAGCTCATGCGATTCTCTTTATTCTCGTCGTGCATGATGGTCCTGTAGTCCAGGAGCCGCTCCAGAAGCCTCACCACCACCGTCACAAAGTTTTCTCCGGTTTTGGACAGGTACTTGTGTTTCCGGCAGTGCTCCAAGAGACTGAGGTGAAGAGCAAAAGGCAACATTAAAAAGTAATAAGGCTTTCCAATATTACCTATGCATAAAGAAGTGGAGGAGCATCTGTCCTGGTTCCACCCTGCGACGTGACGCGAATGAAGATACAAACTGAGACTGTTTCGAATGGATTTAAAGGATTTGTATCTGATTTTTCTGGTCTTACAAATGCAAAAAAACAGAATTAGTTTGATTAAAACAGTTTGCAGTGGTCCAAAGTTATTCAGAACATCCTAATTATTCACTGTGATGAGTTTATAAGCGCTTTTCACAACTTTCAGAGACCACAGCGGAGTTTTACAACAACCACTAGTATGCTAACCACGCACTTCCTGATTCTCAGACAATAAGACACTTAAGTAGTAATTTTAACCTCAAGATCTGCTTATGCATTGTATCTGTATTGGGATATTTGGAGATAATTTTGCTCAAATTTGTGGAAAAAATGTTGGAGTAGCAAGTGCCTTATGGAAGTTTTCACTGAACTGAAGAATATAAATCGTTTTAACTTTTAAATTCTAGCAATAAACTAATATAAAACCGCATTTCTAAATACTTCATAAATGTTAAAGGACATAATTAAAGCTCCCATGTTATGCAAAATTGACTCTTGTGAGATTTAGGCCATGATATAATGTTGTTTCCTTTTCGAAAACAGACCTGGAGCTGTTTTTTTTCATTCACACGTGTCTGAGTAAATCTTTATTATTATTCTCTGTCTCCAAAGCTCAAAATGCTCTGTTCCACCTTGTGATGTCATGAAGTAGTAATGTTCAAGTTAATAGCTACTTTTACACATAGTCACACAAATATTTGAATATTTCCCTCCCTGCGTTTTTCAAAATAACATTGTGCACACAGCATCGTTTTCAAAAAAGTTTCGTTAACATCAACCTGCATAAATACGCCATCGAGAGCCGTCACAACTACACCACGCCTCCTGACACACCTGGATTAGATTCAAAACTGTAGCATTTATTTCATTACAGTTGTAACTATTACTCAAAAATACCTTGAAAAACATGCATTACTGAGCGGGCTCGCCTCTCCACAGATCTGTTAAAGAAGTGGCTCTGGTCATAGATATGAAACATCAGCTGTGTGTGCAAATGAAAACACATGAAAAGTGTTTCACCAGAAAAAATGCGACTGCTGCTCTGAATGCTCCATGATCATCATCAGAGCAAAAGGTAAACACTAGTTGCACTTTACACACAAATGCGAAACCATAGTTTTCCAGAATCTCCACTCAAGCCGGAGTTTTTAGTAAGATTTGTTTTCAGAGGCAAATTCGCGGTTTGCGTGTAAAAGTTGTGTACAAATGAAGGGAAATGTCTCGGTTTTAAAAATACCCGTGTACGTGTAAAAGGGCTCTTAGGCTACGTTCACACTGCAGACTGAAGTGACCCAAATCTGATTTTTTGGCCCCTATGTGACCTGTATCTGATCTTTTAATGAGAGTCTGAACGACACAGATCCGATTTTTTCAAATGCGACTCAGGACACTTGGATATGTGCTCCTAAAACCGATACATAACTGATCATTTGACATGCGACTTCAGTATGAACGATCAAGGCACATTCATCCGACCTACACGTTATCAACAAGCTACAAATGTACACAAACGTTCTTCTCGTCATATGAAAATTGTTAATGATCTCCGTGTCACTGAAGCAAAGCACATCGCTATCCCACGACTCTTGGCTACGTCTCCGTATTCACACATTCCTTTCAACGAACTGCCCCACCAAACACCACGGCCAAAAACCTCGTCCTTCTCCTTCTCTATCTCCTCCTTAAAACAAGTAAGTTGTTCATGTTCTGGCTCTGGTACGAGAAGAACTTTAAAATCTCCAGGTGCTCAATGCTCACATCCATGTTTGGACAACTTCCGTAAACACAGAGCACGCTCGCTGCGGTTGACGTCGTCGTGTCTCCAGTGCGCATGCGGGACACTTTCGGGCCGTTTAACGTTCACACAGGAGATCACATACAAGTCACATTTAATTGGAAATGTGAACGACCTCACAAAAACATTAGATTTTACAAAAAAAAAATCAGATTTGAGCATTAAGCCCTGCAGTCTAAACGTAGCCTTAGTTTAGTAGAGATCAGCAATTCCAGGGCTGAAATCATCCAATGATTCTAGTGAAGGTGTATGGAGTTTAAAAACATAACGGAGCACTTCCTGTATTACCACATGACATCACAAGGTGGAGCAGAGTGTTTTCTGTTGGAGACATGTGTGTTAAACATGTGAATGAAACAAAACACAACTCCAGTCAAGTTTTTGATGAAGAAGCAACATTCTAACATAGATCAGAAAATAGTATAATATAAACTCTTAAAACACATCTAGGTTTAATTATCTATATTCCCTTAACCCTTAATGCCTCTGCTTAACTAATTATATAAGTTTTTCCCTTCTTTTTAATAGAATTCATATTAATAATCCCAGCCCTACTTGAGACTTCTGTGTAGTGATTGCACTTTGAGTTAAGTACAGATCTTGGGTCCTTCTTCTTCCCCTTCACTGGGTTTAATTAGCAGATCTCCAGCACAATTAAGCTTTTGACCATCACAGATTTCCATTTCAGATTGGAGCAGATTTCCTCTTTTGCCCATTAGCTCACAGTTAGCCCCCGACGGCGCCGCAGCACACAGCAGCTCTGAGCCCGCTGTGTCAACGAGCCATGTGATCACCGCACGCTGTGATCATTTCAGGAGCGCTACGTAGCAATTAGCATTACCCAAACTTATCTGTGCGAGTGTGTGAGTGTGACTGAGAGAGAGGGAGGAGAAATACTTGATGCTGTAGATGTAAAATGGGGTTGTTACTGGGGGACATATTATCTATAATCTACTTGTGTAAGTTTTTAAAGCTCCTATATTACAGAAAATTGACTCTGTGAGCTTTGAGCCATGTTATAATGCTGTTATCTCCTCAAAAAAAAACATATCTGGAGTTGATTGATTCGTGCATGTTTGAGTAATCCTACGACTCTTCAAAAACTTTCATAGAGTGTTCAGATATTTCCTGTATAACCATTTCGCAAAGTCCGTGTACAGTTCGTTCTTTCTGAAATTCAATTAAGAACGAAAGACAATAAAATGGGAAAACAGTTTGTTCATTTTTCCGCTTTATTGTCAAACAAAAAAAACAGATTTCGACCTTCGTTTCGACCCCTTTGTCACCGTGCCTATTTCAATTTTGATATTTTATTCTCTTTGGTTTATTTGTCCGAGAAGTTCTGCCTCTAGAATCATTGCAGTTTTGTGGACAAATGTGGTCTTCTCTTACAGCGATGTGTTTACTTTAATGTTTTAGGGCGTCATTGTTGAACTCCATGATGAGAAACAGGAAGCAGCGACAAACTCAGTTGACATTGAATTGGCACGCGGCGCAATAAGCAGCAGAACTTCCGGTGCAAATAAACCAGAGAGAATAAAATATCAAAATTTAAATAGGCACCGAGACAGTTTTTTGACTGGTGTTATTTGAAATAAACTTTCAATTAAATATTGGAAATAGGTCCGTGTACCATTTGTTCTTTTGAATTTCAATTAAGAACAAAAAACAATAAAATCGGAAAACAGTTTGTTATTTAATTTTTTGTTTTACCGTGAAACAAAAAAACTATTTTCAACCTATATTTCCAATATTTAAATGAAAGTCATAGTGCCTGTTTAAATTTGGATAATTTATTCTCTCTGGTTTATTTGTCCCGGAAGTTATGCTGTTGGAAGGACTTTTACTTTTTTTTTTTTCTTTGTGTTTACTTTTGCGTCTTAGAAAGTCATTGTTGAAGAAACAAGTAGCAGCTATGCGATAGAAACTCCTTTGTTCATGTGACACTGAATTCAGACGTGGCGCAATAAGCAGCAGAACATCTGGTGCAAATAAACCAGAGAGAATAAAATATCATAACTGAAACAGGCATGATGTCTGTTTTCTGATTGGTGTTACTTGAAATAAACTTTCAATTAAATATTGGAAATAGGTTCATGTACCGTTTGTTCTTTTGAAGTTTAATTAAGAAAGAATAACAATAAAATGGGTAAACAGTAGGTTTGTTTGTCAAAAAACGGTCTCTGGGCCTATTTTAATTTTGATATTTTATTCCCTGAAGTTCTGCTGCAGTGTCGACCACGGATCTATAATAAAAATATTTTTATTATAGTTTCATGGTGTCAGCTGGACAAAGGAGTTTAATGCGTAGCTGCTTCCTGTTTCTTGTTAATCTGATTCATCAGACGGTTTCACTTCGTAGAAACCGTCTGACCTCGCAGCATTAGGATGTGTTCGCTCGACAGTAGGCGGGTACTTTTTTTATTTAACCAATCGCTGCTATTTGGTTGTGACATATGTAATGCACTGCTAACAGGGTTAACTAGTATATTAAGTTTTTCCCAAATCTTGTAGGAAGAAGGGCAATAACATCCTCCCCCTTGATAAAATTCACCAAACATTCTCTTTGTTCCGGCTTTAAATCCTCGATCTCGGGAATCTTTGCCAACACAGAATGTTTGGCTCTTCGCTGATTGGCTGGTGCCCGGATTTGCACTTCTGGAGTTCTTGCAAATCGTCTAGTGTATTCTGATTCCTGACCTAGTCGCTGGAGAGAAATGAAATTGAGCAGAGGCACTAGATGGCACCAGCCTGGCTAGTTTCTCTTCATGGAGTTCAACAGTTACTTTCAAGGATGTGAAAGTAAACACGTTGCTATAAAAGAGTAGAACATGGTTTGTCCACAAAATTGCAAGTCCTTCTAGCAGCAGAACGTCCGGGGCAAATAAACCAGAGAGACTAAAATATCCAAATTGAAGTAGGCGTCATCATTGTTTTTTGATTGGTGTTATTTGAAGTAAACTTTAAATTAAACACTGGAAACAGAGGTTGAAATCTGATTTTTGTTTGACGCTAAAACAGGAAAATGAAATAAACTGTTTTCCCATTTTATTGTTTTTTGTTCTTCATTGAAATTTAAAAAGAACGAGTGGTACACAAACCTTACAATAACAAAAAGTACGTCAGTTATAATCAGCTACTGGTTATGGTGAAATGTCACTATGAAGATGTTTTAGATCAATACTGCAGTGAACAAAATGTAAAATCATGATTTACATTTGTTATGGGTTTATACTAAATACCCCCTCTTTGTTATTTAACAGCATCTCTTTAATCTGATCTTTTCCGGTGAGACCTCTGCTTTTGTAGGATTGCTGTGCTGTGTGTGTGTGGAACAAAGAGAATGTTTGGTGAATTTTATCAAGGGGGAAGACGTTATTGCCCTTCTTCCTACAGGATTTGGGAAAAACTTAATATACTAGTTAACCCTGTTAGCAGTGCATTACATATGTCACAACCAAATAGCAGCGATTGGTTAAATAAAAAAAGTACCCGCCTACTGTCGAGCGAACACATCCTAATGCTGCGAGGTCAGACGGTTTCTACGAAGTGAAACCGTCTGATGAATCAGATTAACAAGAAACAGGAAGCAGCTACGCATTAAACTCCTTTGTCCAGCTGACACCATGAAACTATAATAAAAATATTTTTATTATAGATCCGTGGTCGACACTGCTGCAGAACTTCAGGGAATAAAATATCAAAATTAAAATAGGCCCAGAGACCGTTTTTTGACAAACAAACCTACTGTTTACCCATTTTATTGCTATTCTTTCTTAATTAAACTTCAAAAGAACAAACGGTACATGAACCTATTTCCAATATTTAATTGAAAGTTTATTTCAAGTAACACCAATCAGAAAACAGACATCATGCCTGTTTCAGTTATGATATTTTATTCTCTCTGGTTTATTTGCACCAGATGTTCTGCTGCTTATTGCGCCACGTCTGAATTCAGTGTCACATGAACAAAGGAGTTTCTGTCTCATAGCTGCTACTTGTTTCTTCAACAATGACTTTCTAAGACGCAAAAGTAAACACAAAGAAAAAAAAAAAGTAAAAGTCCTTCCAACAGCATAACTTCCGGGACAAATAAACCAGAGAGAATAAATTATCCAAATTTAAACAGGCACTATGACTTTCATTTAAATAGTGGAAATATAGGTTGAAATAGTTTTTTGTCAAAGAATCAAAAATCATTAACAGGACCAAATTGAACCTGAACAGTTTTAGATGATCTGATTGAAAGTGTCCGTCTCGTGTCATGCACAGTCTCTGCTTGTGTCTGTGTGTTTTCCTTTGAATCCTCTTCTTCACTTACATTTTCTGGAAGAGCACCTTGTACTGCTCGTCTCCACGGCCGCCCTCCACCTCGTGATCCAGTTTGGTGATGATCTCGTTCTCAAACTGCAATTAAAAACAGAGCAGCCGTAAATAATCTGCCAGGCTAATTTTTCAATTCATTAGCAGCTTCTCGGTGTCCCTCTCGCCAGCGTCAGATCAGGCTCAGAGGAGAGCGCGGCTGTGATCAGAATCCTGACTCCATTTTCAGACCAGATGGAAAAACCCTGCTGTTTTGTCTCGTCATTATCCTCAGGTTTATCACATGGACCTGTTTAATATCGGTGCAGCTAAAGGTGTTATACAGTAAATATATGTAGTATAGTTTAGTAGTAGTAGTAGTAGTAGTAGTAGTAGTAGTAGTAGTAGTAGTAGTAGTAGTAGTAGTATTTAAAATTAGACATTTGTCAGTAAACATATGATTTGCATTTTGGAAAATTTGGTAGAAATTTTTTTTATATAACAGGACTCAAATAGTTCTGGCAGTATAGTACTAGCAGTAGCAGTAGTAGCTGTAGTAGAAGTAGCAGTAGTAAGTAGTAGAAGTAGTAGTAGTAGTAGTAGTAGTAGTAGTAGAAGTAATAGTAGTAGCAGTAGCAGCAGTAGCAGTAGTGGTAGTAGTAGTAATAGCAGTAGCAGTAGCTTAGTAGTAGAAGTACCAGGTAGTAGCAGTAGAAGTAATTGTAGTAGTAGCAGTAGCAGCAACAGTAGTAGTAGTAGTACTACTAATAGCAGCAGTAGTAGTAGTGGTAGTAGCAAAAGAAGTAGTAGTAATAGTAGTAATAGAAGTACTAGTAGTAGTAGCAGAAACAGCAGCAGCAGCCCGGTTTCAGTCCTGAAACCGGGCTGGTCCTGGTCTCAGTCCCGGCCTGGTCTCAGTCTGGTCTCGGTGTCAGTCCCGGTCTGGTCCCGGTCTGGTCTCAGTCCCGGCCTGGTCTCAGTCTGGTCTCGGTGTCAGTCTCGGTCTGGTCTCGGTGTCAGTCCCGGTCTGGTCTTGGTCTCAGTCCCGCTCTGGTCCCGCTCTGGTCTCAGTCTTGGTCTGGTCCCGGTCTCAGTTCTGATCGTCTCAGTCTGGTCCCAGCCTGGTCCTGGTCTGGTCTCGGTTTCAGTCCAGCTCTGGTCCCCGGTCTGATCCCGGACCTGGATCAGTCCTGGTTCAGTCCGGCATCGCAGTCACGGAAGTCACGTAAACGGGAAACGTACCGTTATCCGTTTTTTACCCATTTTTTACTTAAACACAAAATCGAAAACTGAAAAAACGAATCATTATCTGTTTTTTCATTTTGGTTTTGGAGACAAATAATGAAGAAGACAGTTGTATTTTTTATGTTCTTATTTTTGGTTTTATATTGAAAAACGAATGAACGAATGACACACGGATTCATTCCCATAGAAAAAAAGAATCTGACACCTCAAAACTCCACCAGAAAAGTTACAAAAATGCATCTTTAAGCGTAGATTTTAAAAGCAGAGGAGCTCCAGTTTACAGTAGAAGTAAAAGGAGGCGGAGGAGAGCGGGATTGATTAAACACAGTGAAGAGAAGCAGGCTGTAGTTGTGCTCACTTGTAATAAGGTGAGCTCTGAGTGACATATTGACATAATTAGCTCGGGTTCCACAGTAAACATTGGAGGCTATTAGTGCAGAGTCAATGCAATAAAGCTCCACTCCTCTCCCGTCTCTGCAGTGTACACAAGACCGGGCTTCTATTAACCGCTAAGTGAAATACAATCACAAAAAGCCTCTGTAATTAGAAGACTTGAGTAACTTCGTCTTTTAAAGCTGCACTGCGTAACTTTTCCGTTCGTCTCTACGGGGATAATGGAATGTTTCGCAGTAGGGCATTACATTTAGTTTCCGTTAAGAGCTAAGAGAAATATAACCACAACAGGGTCTGTAATTAGTGCACTATGTAACTTTTCTAGTGAAAAGTATGTAAACTGTGTAGTAAGGCTTTAAATTTAGCTTCAATTAAGAGTGAAATACAATTAGAAAAGGGTCTGTAATTAGTGGACTTCAGTAACTCTGTAGTAAAGGCGCACTGTGTAACTTTTCTAGTGGAGGGTTGTCGCCTGCTCCATAGAAATGATTTAGAAGCGCAATAAATGTAGTTTTTATTAAGAGCATTATGTATTGAGTAAAATACAACTGCGACAGGGCTCTGTTAAGTTTACTTGAGTAACTCCAGGGGTGTAGTGGGCGTGGTACATGGGGGTACACCGCCCACCCACTTCTCCTGACGTGAGATATAAAAAAATTACAATATATATAAAATAGCTACAACTTAAAAAAACAATCAAACTGGAGCTACCGGCAATGGTGAAAACAACCTGCATCGGCTCATGATATCTGCAGGACTTTCCTATAGTGACCTGAGACATGAGGGACCAGGTCTAAATCAGGTCTAAACCAGAACTAAACCAGGACTGAGTGTCGGAGGAATGAGCCCAGAGGTGCGCCCGCTTAGACCGTCGGGTGACCACAGGTGAAAGGACCAGCGCAGAGTTCCGAGCCTCACGTGGCGAAGTGCAGCTGTCACCCGATTGCGCTTTGTGGACACTCTGCTCCATGGGCTTGTGTTTCTCTCTCTCTTTCTCTCTTTCTCTCTCTCTCAAGTCCAAGATTAGTCCTGGATCAGTCCTGGTTTAGTCCTCCTGGTTCAGTCACAAATCGTGTATCCCCATTTAAAAAATCCCCACTACACCACTGAGTAACTCTGGATATTAATGATGATATTGCTTTCCCAGGAATGTTTCACAGTATAACATTAAACTGGAGACAGGCAGCTGATGCCACCAGGCCTCATTACAGATCAGATCTGTAAAGAAGCGAGCCAGGTCACAAACAAAACTTTTGTTTGTCAGGACATTTTTGACAGTTTCTTGAATATTGAGCATTGAGTTTACTGCAGTGGAAATATCGACCTCTTACTCTGAGTGAACATCTCCACAAACCTGACCTGGCCTGGAGGAGGACCTGTTGTTTTATTGGCTGTAATCTTCAACAGACCTTTTTCACAACAGCTGAAGTGCCCCGCTGTAGGTTTGTAGGACTTCCGGTTAATGCTTTTCTATGGCGAAATATTTGTGGAAATATCTGGCGTATTTTCCAGCAGCTTCATAAACCTGCCCCATCACCAAATCTTCAACCAACAAGGTCGACAAAGGGCATATTCTGTCGATGAAGAATTTATCCACAACTATCAAGGTAAGAAAGACGAAAATTTAAAGGCGAACAAAACGAACACTATGGTCATGAATAGAACAGAATATGTCCTTTGTCGACCTTGTTGGTTGAAGATTTGGTGATGGGGCAGATTTATGAAGCTGGTGGAAAATACGCGAGACATTTCCACAGATATTTTACCAAAGAAAAGCACTTCCGGACGTTGTGAAAAACGTCTATTGTACGGCATAAAGTGAATCTATCTCCTTGGATAAAGTTCCAAAGTATGGTTTTATGTTTCAGTTTCCATGGAATTACGCAGATGACGTACCACCTCCAAAACTTACATATTATATCTTTAACAACGTTAGTCAGATATCAGATACTTTTGCAATATTCCAACTTTGGCCCGTCTGTCTGCTTGATAATTCACAGTATGAGTATGAGTAAGTGATTTCTCCTTTACACTTTACATAATATCATTTTGTATCTGATTTGTTTTGATATTTTTTACACTTTATTGACTACTTTCCTCTGCTCATTGTGCTCAGAAACATTTTTAAACAGAGCATAAAACCAAGAAATAGCTTTTGAAATCTTAGTTTAGTGTAACGGAGTAGGAAATAAACTTCCATAGCTGTGAGCTGAGTTGTAATTCTTTTCTGCAAATCTCATTTTGTTGTCGCAGCGATTATCAACAGCTACGCTTAGCAGAACTTAATGTTATGCCTCGTTACTGTGCAAAATTAAGCCTATTTCCACATGAGGAGATCCGGTGGGCCACAGCTGTTAGCCTCAGAGACGGGCTGTGTGCAGGTGGAGATACTCACTTACGCAGGTTTTTAAATTATTATTACTATTATCGAACTAACGTGAGGAGAATGCAGTAAATAACGATCACCCTGGAGTACGGTGACTTCAGACTAATGTGTTTAAAGATGCACTGCGGAACCTTTCTAGTGAAGGGTCTGCTGCCCACTCAATCTATATCTACAGAAAGAAACGCAGGTGAAGTTATGGGTCGGATCTGTGGAGAGGCGAGTCCACTCACAGTAAAAACACCACTTTTACAAACCAATTTCTGAGCAATAAAAACACATTTAAATGAATAAATGCAAGATAGATAGGTTTAATGTTTAAATTACAGTGGAATATTTGAATAACATCTCCATGGAGGCAAACAGTAGGCAGACCCTCCACCAGAAAAGTTGCAGAGAGCATTTTTGAAGCTTAGATCCATAATATTATGTCAAAAAACGCCTTAGACGCCCCTATTTGGACAGTTTTCCATTGGAGTTCAGACACTTCCAACGTGTGTCTTGGACGCAGTGGACAAACGGGAGAAAAATATTTGACGCATGTCTGTCGCCCTGGAAACAAGTGCCCAGTCCCGGTCTTTGCCCGAAACAATGGCAGACAGAGAAAGACTTTAGTGTTTTTACTAAATAAAACCATCAGCAGAGGTGATCGACTGCTAATGACACTGGATCAGTCTTGGTCCAGTCCTGGTTCAGTCCTGGTCTAGTCCTGGTTTAGTCCTGGTCAGGTCCTGGTGTAGTCTGGCGGCTCGGTGATTGTGGCGTATATATTTATACTCCGCTTATGTTCGTATCCCCCTGCCCCAGTTCTCGGGTCTTTCTCTTTCTTCCGGATAATAATGTCACTACATCATTGGATACTTGTCCCTGATTGGTTGACGCATATTTAAGGTGAAAAGTTCAGCATGTTAAACTTCTGAAACTGACACCCTGCTTCTAGAGCGTCAACGCCAAAACACTCAAGACACGCCGATTCGTGCCGCAAAAATGTTATCGTTGTCCATGTATCGAGGTGTATATCATATTGGCAACTTGGTTAAATGCATTTTTCCTAGCAAATATTTTTTATGTTTTCAAGTTTGTTTACTACAGACACAGCAGTAACATTGGACAAGCCAGAGGCAATGTCTTGAGTGTTCTGAGTTCTAAAATAAACTCAAAAAAGACAAGTATACTTACATGGTGGAAACTGCAGGTGGAGTGGGACTCACACTGCATCATGTCAAAGAAGATGGGGATTGTGGCTTTTCTCAGCTCGATCTCAGGCACCAGAGTCATCTCCAGGATCGGACCCACCATCTCCGGGATGAACTTAATCTTATGAGGCCCTGCAGAGAAATATTTAAAAGATATAAAAAGGGAAAATAACATACAAAAAGATTCAAATGTACTCTAAATTCTAAAATCAGAACCATTCCTGTTTGAATCCATGCTGTTTTAGTTCAGTCTTGACTCGAGATGTAACAATACCAACATTTCATGGTACGATATTTTCACGATATACATCTCATAGTACGGTATTTATTGTGATATTTTGTGGAGGCTAACAAAATTGTGAATATGCTACTTGATGCCTTGACAAGACTTAATTCAAAGAAGTGAGATTCTTCTTAGAACTGCTATTTCTTCATGTAGCTTGCACCAAGGATCATGGTCGATGTAGCTCCTTCTGTTCCCTAACTGTAGCTGCACCAAGGCAAAGCAAGGCAAGTTTAGTTACTCATATAAATAAAGTATTTCAAAGTGATTTACAGTATCAGAAAGTCATTAAAATCACAAAGAAATACATTAAAATCACCATAACTATTCATTTAAGCAGAGACTTTATTGTTTACTTTATTGTGAAGGCCTTCGATATTATTGTGGGACTTTTGACGATACATTACTGTGGTCCTTCGTCTGCGAAGTAGTCAGCTTTATTTTTAACAATTATTATATCTGTTTTAATGCTGTAAAACCCCTCACCACACACTGTATACACTTTTCTCACACAGGACACTTACAATCCTTTTTGCATCCTTGTTACGGCCCCAGGCCTTAGGTTTAATTTGCTGTGTGATTTTTTTGCGAAGTTCTCCTAATTCCTGCTGCAGGAGCCCTGGTCTGTGATTGGTGGGGCAAGTTGACTCCCACCTCACCTGCAGCCACCTCCCCCTATTTAAGGACATTGCCAGCACCTGTTCGGGGCTGCTGGCCTTGGTGGCCAGTCTGCCATTTTGTTTTGTGTTTGTGTGTGTAGTTTAGTTTAGTTTAGTGCCTTTTTTGATTTGGTCACTTGATTCTGTTTGTGGGTTTATGTGGTTTAATTTGGGGAACTTGTGTTTTAGTTTAGTGTGTGTCCCTAAGTTTTACCACTCGTTTTTGTGTAAGCCTGCGTGACCCCTTTTCTGGCACTAAACTCTGTTTATTCTGTTGTTCTGTTTCTTAGTTTAGGTTGTTTTCTGTATATTTTTAGTGTTTTGTTAATTTAACTTTACATTCCTGTTAATTAAACATTACTTAATTTATTCCATTTTACATCTTGGTTTTATTTTTGTTACTTCCCTCACCCCAAACGAGCTGGGTCGTAACAATCCTTCTTAAAACTTATTGATGCTGTTGTCCTTTTGTTATTTTCCTCCTTCTTTATGTAACAAACCGAAGATTAATTTATTCCGTAATGGCGCTCTACAGCTGCGTAACTTCTACCTTCCTTCAGCATGTCCAGAAGTCCAACTTTTTGTGCGATGGCTTGCGACTTCCTCTGCCTTTTGGGTGCGACCGCAGGAGACTTTGTCGGTGCAGAACGTTTCGTCGACATTGTGGGTTTTGTCGGGGAGAAAACTCGCAAACATACAGCACTTCAGAATCACACTGCTAGAGATCGAACGCTTATGTAAATGTGGTAAACTGAACACATTCTGTACTGTACAGAAGACACAGCACGGACGAGATTGACTGACAATGATCTACAGCACAGGTGTCAAACATGCGGCCCGGGGGCCAGATCCGGCCCTCCAAGACCTTTAATGTGGCCCTTGGGTGATTTTCAACTAAAATATTTTTATTCTGTTTTTTTATTAAAATTTTGTTAATTTTCTGTGGTGTTTATCACAGCAGCGTCTCCAGTGTCTCTGTACGTGGCCCCTCCCACCAGAGCAGCACAAATGAAGACTTGTCTCTTTCCAAACGCTCTTAAAGGACGATCGTTTTGACTGTTGACCGTGACACCCTCATCAGAAAAATGTCTAACATGAGAAAAGTGGAGCCGAGTGCAGGATTTTACAACAAAAATTTACTTATTCCTGTTTACATACAAGTTATTGTTAAAACATTGTGCTGAAATTGAATTTTTCTTCAAGTTTCAGGTTATTCATAGTATTATATTATAATAAGAAAGAGTTCATCAATTAAAAAAAGATTTCTGTAATAGATTTGTGTTTCTCTGCACAAATATTTGAACTTATTGTTATTTTGGGGTTTATATGACATGAGTTTTCTGATCCGGCCCCTTTGTGATCAAAGTAGGTTGGATACGGCCCCCGGACCAAAATGAGTTTGACACCCCTGATCTACAGTCTCAATCAGCCAATCAGGACGCAGGGGGAGGAACACAATGCACTAAAAAAATCTGCGAAACAGCGAGTCCGCGAATGGTGAACCGCGTTATAGTGAGGGACGACTGTATTACGATATTTCAGTTATTGTTACATCCCTAGCGGCACAAGGTGGGGGCAAAGTGGGTTAAATGTCTTGCCCAGTGACACAACGGCAGCATTTATACATATATATGGGAGCTGGAATCCCACTGCCAACCTCTGACAAACACTGTATTGACTGAGCTACATTTTTATATTCAACTATATATCATCCAGGTCTCTACTGGTTTGAATACATTTCTTTCACATCTCAGAACTCGATACAGTGAAATTTCATCCCTCAAAGAACAAAATATCTCTTTCAAACATCATTATTCTTACTATCAAGAACGAATCTACTATAAATACACCAGCAAATGATAATTACTCTGGTAAATATAGCAGCAAGTGAATTAAACCGTAGCCTGCATTAATAGTGTTTAAATGTGTGATTGAGGGATCAGGCCGAGTTTGGGGCGAGGAAGCAGCCCAAGTCTCACTCTGCTCAAGTACTTTCACGCCCCATAAAACCAATTAACAGATGTATAGCTGCTATTCTGAGCCGAGAGCAGGAGGAGGTGAGAGCTGGGAGAATACTGATAAACACAAATATAACAAGAGGAAATATGGGGAAAATTGCGAGGGGGTTATGTTTGAAATTTGTAATGTGTAATTTATGCTTAAGATAAATGGTCCTACATGTATATTACACAAAATTGTTGAGCTGTAATCTGTGGAATAATGGAGTTATCTCTAAAAAACATACCTAGAGTTTTTGTTTCATTCACACATCCTCCTTTATTATTAGTCTGTATTTTTCTGACTTAAAGTTGCATTTTTTTCATGGTTTGGGTGGTCGTGTGACTTAAATTTTCACACTGACAGCCACGAGAAGGCGCTCTAGTCTTGTGTGTCAGTATCTGCTGCTACTATTATTCCCGTAACACTGTCGCTTCACTCTACTGCGCATGTCTCCTGCAGAAAGAGCTTCTGTCCTGTCTGTATCATGTCAGTCGATCGCGCCTTTACTTCTGTAACCACTGAAAAATTAAACAAACTTATTAAGAAAACCAAAACCATCCTGTCGGGATTCAGAAAGGCCAGAATAATTCTAACTGGAACTGATGCTGAGCCTGACGACAGCGACACAGAAGAGGAAGCGGCGCTCTGTTTACCTCCGGAGGTTGTGGCGTTGCTCAGAAGTGACACCGAGGATGAAGAATTGAATGGATTTAGTGATTTGGAGTGAGATGGAGAGTTTGGTAAATTTGTTCTGTTCTGTTGTTTATGTTATATTTATCTGAAGAACTGTTCATACGTGACTGTTGTTCTTTTTTTTTCTATTGTTTTTACTAGAACTTGACTTTCAAGATCAAATGTCGGTTTCTGGTCTCTGATTTATAAAATACATTTCCCTCAAAAAGTGCGACTTATAATTGGTACCTGGGCCTGTTTACACGAGAATGCTTGAGTGTAAAAAAGACAAAATATTTTATCACAAGTGCCTTTCGTTTAGACGGTGTCGTCGTTTTTGGGGCTTAAAAACACAACAATCTGAAACCACCCTCCAGAGTGGAAAAGTTGAATACGCTCCACCGTAGCGTTTCTGTCTACACTGCCCAAGACGCAAAACTCTGCTCAGATCTGCTCACATTACGTACACGTTTAAGTCACATACGTCATCATTTAGCATCACCACCGTCACTGTGTGCACGCAGATTTCCTCTCAAAAATGCTCATCTAAACACGGAATAAAAAGTGAAGACGTAACGCCACTTTTGCGTCTTCTGTTCAGACCGTCATCATATAAACGTAGCCTCATATATGTTTTTTTCTTCTTCATTATGTATTTTTTCACTTGGTGCGAAGCGACTTATAGTCTGAAAAATACGATACATCTCCAAAGCTCAAAATGCTCCATTCTACTTTGTGATATCATGAAGCAGTAGTTTTTAAGTTACCAGCTACATTTTACCTTTATTCCAGTAATGATTGGACATTCCAGGGCTGAAACTCTCCAAATGATTCAAATGAAAGTGCATGGAGTTTAAAAACACAGTGGAGCACTTGTGAAAGTCTTACCCAGGTTGTACCACATGTCTCGGATCTCAAAGCCGATCTGTCTTCTCATGTCCTGGTATCTGCAACACAAAAAGGTGAAAACACTTAGAACAAGTAAGTAAGGGAGGAAATTTGGTTGGTTGCAAGCAAAAAAAGAAAAAAAGAGTCAAATAAATATCAAATATCAAAATAAAGCACATCTTGCCAATTGCTGAGCTCTTGTTTTATGCTTTATTTGACCGACATCACCCCGGTCCATGCACTTTCTTTTGGCAATGACAATATTATTTATGCAAAAAAGATTAAAAAACACTGAATAATGCATAGAGTTAATTCATTAATCATTGCATTTATATAGAGCCTTTCAAGACACCCAAAGCGCTTTACAGAGCATTTTTCATCAGCAGTGGTAAGATGTTATTATTACTACAGCTGTCCTGGGGCAGACTGACAGAAAGGAGGCTGCCAATCTGCCCCATCTGCCCCTCTGATCATCACCAAAACTCACACACACACCACTCACTTTCACACGAGGCAATATAGGTCTACTAATTGTTCAGAGAGACACGATCACTCAGTCAACAATAAAATATCCTCATTAATGTTGAATAATGGTCAAATCCACCTTTATTTTGAGATTTGCGAAGGTTTGTAACTTTTAAAATATGGGTCCCCAGAAAAAAAGTTTGGGAAACACTGATTTAGATTATGACAGAAAAGTAGCACAATCATAATTTTGCTGTTTTCTTTACAAAATATTGCGATAAATATCTTACTGTTTTATGCACAGTGTTGAGGAGTAACAGATTACATGTACCGGAGTTATGTCATTCTTATTTTATTCTTATTTATTTATTTGTAAAGGGACAGTACATATTAATGAACATTAAAAATGTAAATATGCAAAGATTATAGCCAACGTGGCTAATTTCCATCTTCAGTCCCTCGGCAGGTTGATGTAAAATCATCTATAGGACGAGGAAAAGTACAGCAACAATCACACAAAAGCACAGAACACCAGCACACTCACTATACACACAATGAGTTTCAAACAGTTCATTTGAAGTTCAAAGTCAGAAGTTTAAGAATTAAGTCAAGAGTTAATAGAGTACAAATTATGAGTAAATGTATTCAGTTACGGTTACTGTTTCAGTGAGTGGTAATTGGATTACAGTTACTTTGTTGAAATAAATGGATTACACGGCGGTATTTTCCTGTTTTCACATTTGGAGTTTTTTTGGGGTTTTTTTCTCGGTGATTCCACTCATTGCCGGAAACTAAACCAGGTCTAAACCAGGTCTAAACCAGGTCTAAACCAGGTCTAAAACCAGGTCTAAACTAGGTCTAAACCAGGACAAAAAACAGGTCTAAACTAAATCTAAACCAGGTCTAAAACAGGTCTAAACCAGGTCTAAAAGCAGGTCTAAACCTGGACTAAACCAGGACTAAAACAAGACTAAACCAGGACTAAAACCAGGTCTAAACTAGATCTAAACTAGATCTAAACCAGGTCTAAACCAGGACTAAAACAGGACTAAAACCAGGTGTAACTAGGTCTAAACCAGGTCTAAACCAGGTCTAAAACCAGTACTAAACCAGGACTAAAACAAGACTAAACCAGATGCTACAACCTGATGTACAATGCATCTCTCCTGTCAAGGTTAATGCGAAAATTGTGCGCTGTCCCTGTCTCAAATTAATAAATACAAACAAAATAAAACAGGACTAAACCAGGTCTAAACCAGGACTAAAACCAGGTCTAAACCAGGTCTAAAACCAGGTTTAAACCAGTACTAAACCATGACTAAAACAAGACTAAACCAGGACTAAAACCAGGTCTAAACTAGATCTAAACCAGGTATAAAACGGCAAGAAGGTTCTGGGTTCGATCCCCAGGTCCTTTCTGTGTGGAGTTTGCATGTTTCTCCCCGTGTCTGGATGAGTTTCCTCCGGGTGCTCCGGTTTCCCCCATCAACCCAAAACATGCTACAGGTCTCCAAGAACAGCTGATAGTCAAGATCAGTTAAATACAATCAATCAATGAATCTGTCCAGGGACGACAGGTGGAAATTAGCACTGATGCTACAACCTGATGTACAATGCATCTCTCCTGTCAAGGTTAATGCGAAAATTGTGCGCTGTCCCTGTCTCAAATAAATAAATACAAACAAAAGTAAAACAGGACTAAACCAGGTCTAAACCAGGACTAAAACCAGGTCTAAACTAGATGTAAACCAGGACTAAACCAGGATTTAACAGGACTAAATCATGCTGCGCGGACGTGTCTCCTCCTCTTCTATCAATAATATTTTTAATACAGTTAAGTAAAGTCTGGGCTTTTCATTTTCTTTTAGTAGACAAAAAATCTCATGTTAAGACTATCCTAGTCTTTGCTTCTCTACAGCAAATCAAGTAATCCAAAGTATTCAGATTACTTTATTCACCTTACGTAATTTAATGGATTATATTACAAGCTACATTTTGGGGTGTGTAATCTGTAATCTGTAGGGGAATACATTTTAAAAAATCACCTTCTCAACACTGGTTATGCATATTGTTAAAATATCATACATCCTTACTTTTATCTGTAAAAAAAAATAAATAAATAAATCCATACTGGACGATCAATGCTTTGCACGCACACACATCGCCATGGTAACAGAGCCACGGCCCTAGAGCTTTGCCATTTGTCCGTTTTAAATAAGTAATGCTCTGCTCATCTGTCTGTCTCGGGGCACCTTCTGTTGTTCTTATAGAAAATCAAAGTTTTCACCAAGGATCACAGCCACCTTGAACTTCGGGATGGAACAACACTGTCATACGCGGGTCATGAACCAATCAAGGGCAGCGAAAACCCCACTCGCTCCGTCCACGCCAACTGTACAAGGTGAAAGCGCGGAAACAAAGAAATAAAATAAACGTAAAAGTGGACAGGCTACTCCAGGGTCACGGAGTCAGAGCACGACGGCAGAAGCAATAAGACTAGAAATAATGGCGTAGCTCTAAAAACAATTGGATATTTGATAAGAAAAGTAAGTTTGGGAGTGAAATTGCTCTTAAAGAAGAAATACAGTGCCACTTGAAGCCATATTGACCATTATTCAAGTCTGGTCTCTGTGTGATAATAAAAAGTTTCCAATATTTTATCAAACAGACAATCTGAAAAAAAATATATATATATGGAGTTTGTAATATGAAGGGAACAGAAAAATAAGTGCAGTGACTCGGATACAACTTTTTATGAGTTTATACGTCCTCAACTGGAATAATAGTTCACTTCTAAGGACGCTTTTGCTGCTTGTTTCCATGGAAATGTTGATAATATTCTAGCCTGATTTATCAGACTGTTTCACTTTGTGGAAGCCGTCTGACCTCGCAGCATTAGGATTCGTTCGCTCGTTAGTAGGCAATCGCTGCTATTTGGTCGTGACGTATGTATTGCGCCAAATCCTGTAGCAAGAAGGACAATAACGTCTTTTCTCTTGAAAGAATTCCCCAAACATTCTTTAGGCTTTAAATCCTCGATCTCGGGAATCGTTGCCAACACAGAATGTATGGCTCAAACTCGCACTTCCGGGGTTCTTGCAAACCGTCTAGTGTATTTTGATTCCTGATCTAGTCGCTGGAGAGAAATTAAATTGAGTGGAGGCATGACGTGGTAGCCTGATTCATGAGCCGGTTTCACTTTGTGGAAACCGTCTGACCTTGCAGTGTTAGGATTCTATGTTATTAGGTTCTTTTTTTCAGACCTAGAGTGTTATTTCATACTCACTAGCGTCTTCCTCAGACTGGTCACGTGATGTTGCTGTGACGTGTCCAATCAGCTGATTTAAACAGGTTTTTCAGGGATACTGTCCTGAGGAAGTCGGACTGCAGATGGCGCTGTCGTCCTGCCTCCACCGGTAGGAAGACGGCGCCAAAACCTGTTTAAATCAGCTGACTGGACACGTCACAGCAACATCACGTGACCACTCTGAGGAAGACGCTAGTGAGTATGAAATAACACTCTAGGTCTGAAAAAAAGAACCTAATAACATAGAATATTGGAAGACCAAATGAATCTCATTGGACTAGTGTTAGGATTCGTTCGCTCGACGGTAGGTGGGCACTTTTTTATTTAACCAATCGCTGCTATTTGGTCGTGACGTATGTAATGCGCCTCTAACGGGGCTAACTGGTATATTAAGCTTTTCCTAAAGGAAGGAAGAAGGGCAATAACGTCTTTCCCCTTAATAAAATTCACCAAACATTCTCTTTGTTCCGGCTTTAAATCTTCGATCTCGGGAATCGTTGACAACACTGAATATATGGCTCTTCGCTGATTGGCTGGTGCCCGAACTCACTTCCGGTGTTCTCGTAAACCGTCTAGTGTATTCCCATTCCTGACCTAGTTGCTGGAGAGAAATTAAACTGAGTGAGGGCACTAGGTGGCGCCAGCTTGGCTAATAATATTCAGCACAATGACATAAAACCTGTTTAAATCTGTTTAAAATGAGAATGTTCTGAAGTGCGGTTTTAACTTTCTATTTCTATGGGATCATGCAAGTGACGTTTTACTTCCAGAAAGTTACACACTGTGGCTTTACAGGTGCACTTTGGAACTTTCAGGTTGGGGGTATGTCACCATTGCACATCGCTCTGCCTGGAATGTCCCACAGTATGACATTAAACACCTCGACCTTACATTTATTCAATTACAAGTGGTTTTATAGCTCAAAAATACCTAGAAAAACAACATTCTAACTGTGAACGGGGTCGCCTCTCCACAGATCTGACCTGTAACTGTGTCTTTTTTGGTCTCCATGAAGACAGAAAGGTCTAATGTCATCCCGCGAAACATTCCAGATAAAGTAATAACATCTGTTGTGACTCTGTGCACCTTTTAATTGAACATTTTACACAAATCAGCCGACTTTATATCATATTTTAGAGGTGAACTTTTCTCAAATTCTCCATTTAAAACCAACATATTCTGTAAAATCAATATTTCAGAACTTTTAACCACGCTACAGTCGTTTCCCCTCATCATTCACGCACATAAAGTTGCATTTGGAGTGATTTGTGCATGTTTGAATAAATC